GGAGACTTGGTGGGGTTGCTAGGTGGAAGAGACATTTTTTGTGCTTACATCAAGTGTGTAGCCTTTTATACACTAGAGGAGTTACTTGGCAACAGCCTAGGTGGACAGCACAAGAAACATGTTTATATGCATAAATGTGTCCTTCACAAAGGTGCATCCCATTTCTGCCTCATCATAATTCAGGATCTGCTTCAAAAATACACTAGGGCTCAAACAAACTCTGTTTGAAACACCTGCCAGAATAAATCAAATACATCAGCTGAGCTGCTGGAAAGTTGCCTGAAAGGAAACATCCAGGAAGCCTGGTGGTGTTTGATTAGATTGTCTCCCTAATTAATGGCCAGAATCCTATTATTTACACCTGCCAGTGTAAGTCCAGCAGTGAAAATCTCAGTGGGGAGATGCTGCTGCTTAAGAAGGTCGTGCTTCCAATTTTGGGGGTATGTGATGTGATATGCAACAAGAAACACAAATGCTGACTTTATAATTAGTAGCGATAGACTTCTGAAGTTTGTACTCCTGGGCTTATGCCTATGTAAATATTAAATTGGATTACGACCATTGTATGTGCATGAGAGGGGAGGGTCCTTGCAAAAAACAGAATTATACCTTATTTATCTTTCTGGTAGGCAAAAAGTCCTTTGAATCATTTCTCATTCTTCAAAGACTTTGAGAAAAGTCCATTTTCCTTTGCTGTTAATACGGCCTTTCCAGTTTCTTTAAGATAGCTCACCTTCATGCAGAGAAGTCGAATTATCACATTAGTTTCTTGCTGTCTTTGGGGAGCCCAGATCAAAACAAGCTATATTCTGACCTACACACCCTTTTTACCTATGTAACCGTTTCCTCCTTAGATGCCTCTTGGCAGCAACATAAGCTCTGTATTTATGTAGAGAGAAGCATTACTGAGGGCATCCTGATCTTGAATCAAGCAATAAAATGGTTCAAATTGAAAACCTGGAGTGGCCAGATGAAAGATCAGTCTACAGATTTTTGTTGTTGCCTGTGATAAAGTTTCCTCCTCCTCAATCAGCTTTATCTTTATGAAGTACTGGCAACAGGACAGTGTTCTCCATTATCCCTGAGAATAGGAGGCTAGTTTAAGAGGCACAGAGATGGTTGTATAACACTGTGACTTTATGCGCTCCACTGCATGTCACAGTGTCTTTCCCCTGTCACCTCAAGGCAGCTGCAGCACTCTGTCTAATTATGAGGGGGTGCTGATAAGCATTCAGACTTTTCCAGAAAAAATTGAGCTAGGAAGCTGTAACTGCCACACTATTCTACGTATTCCCCCAGGAAGTCAATGCACTTGTGACATCTGTCCTGCAGCTTCTTCAGCCCCTGCAAATAAAATCCTCTGACTGCTGATGTAACCACTCATTTACAGCATTAGTTGCCTCCAGAACACTCTCATATCGTTGGAAGCATTGAGACTTTTCCAGGAAAAATTGAGCTAGGAAGCTGTAACTGCCACACTATTCTACGTATTCCCCCAGGAAGTCAATGCACTTGTGACATCTGTCCTGCAGCTTCTTCAGCCCCTGCAAATAAAATCCTCTGACTGCTGATGTAACCACTCATTTACAGCATTAGTTGCCTCCAGAACACTCTCATATCGTTGTCCCTTTAGGTGTTTTTGGAGTTTGGTGAACAGATAATAGTCAGAAGGAGCCAGGTCGGCGCAATAGGGTGGATGGGGCATCACTTGAAAGCCTAAGGGCGTCAATTTTTCCATTGTTTCACCTGCAATGTGTTATGAGGCATTGTCATACAACAGGATGACATTTCTTTGGCCTGGGGAAACCACTGTGCCTCCATTCCTTAGACTGTTTCTTTGTCTCAGGATCATAACAGTAGATCCATGTCTCATCGCCAGTTACCAGTTTGCCCAGGAAATCTGACTCATTTCTTGCAAAATGTTCCAAAACAGCCACCAATGACGCCACACGTTTCCTCTTTTGTTCGGTTGTCAAAAGTTTGGGGATCCACTTTGCCACCAGCTTTCTCATTTCCAAGTCGCTGTGGATAATGGCACCAACCCTCTCACGTGATATTCTCAGATAAATAGCAATACTTTGGGCTGATATTTGGTGGTCCTCCATGATCATGTCATGGGTGGCTTTCACATTTGCAGGCACAGAGACAGAAACAGGTCTTTCACTGGGTTTCTCACTTTCAACACCAAAATGGCCAGTTTTAAAATAGACAACCCAACGTTGCATATGAAGGGACACTATCACCCATAGTTTGTGACATTTCATCATGGATCTGCTTTGTACCTTTCCCTTGGAGAAACAGAAATTTGATTATGGTCCTATGCTCTTCCACATTGAACTTTTCTGGAGGTGCTGCCATGTTCACTTTGGACCTGAACATTAAAGATAAGTTAAAATAATAGGTACAGTGGTGCCTCGTTTGCCGACGTTAATTCGTTCCAGCGAAATCGCTGTAGAGCGAAAACATCGTCAAACGAAATAAAAAACCCATTGAAACGCATTAAAAACCGGTTAATGTGTTCCAATGGGCAAAATACCTAATCGTCCAGCAAAGATCCTCCATACGGTGGCCATTTTCGGGTGCCTGTCTTGCGAAAAATGCCTCCTAAAAACAGCAGGGAGCCATTTTGAGCAGCCAGCAGCCTTTTTCAAAACCCGACAATCAGCTGTTTTGATTGTCATAATGCGAAGAATCGGTTCCCAAAGCAGGAAACCAATTGTCGCAAAGCGAAAAAAACCCATCAAAACATCGTTTTGCGATCGCAATTGTGATCCCAAAAACATTGTCCTGAAGTGGATTCGTCGTTATACGGGGTAATCGTTAAGCAGGGCACGACTGTAGTTGATTTTTTGTACCACTGAATACAGAGAAATCGGCCAATACACCCTGCAATTTATAGCTTCCCAGCTCAATTTTTTTTCTGGGAAAGGCTCAATACTTATCTACATCCCTCGTACTGTATAAGGCTAGTCGCGCCGGAAAAAAAAGTCTTGCTGGCCCTGTAAGTCGCCTGATGACTGTCACTGCAATACTGACTTCTGATGTGCATCACCACTGGTACCTGAACACAGCAGAGGCTCAGCTCTTTCTTTCACTTAGCACAATAATGGAGCAGAGTAATGTAAAAAGGCTTAGAGTCCCAGTATGATACATCACCTTAGAGAATCTTCATTTTAGTCTAGCACAGGGGTGGTAAACCTTTGATGAACCTTTAGAATTCTGGACTTCAACTCTCAGCTTTCCCAGCCTGTATTGCCAATAATAAAAGACTGTGACCACTGTAGTCAAAAACTCTCTGCCAAAAGTTAGCCACTCCTAGTATAGGGTTAATTGCAAAATCTTGAGATGACTTGGCCCATGCATTGTTAGTTTTTCAATGCAAATCCTTTTTCCATAAGGTAATGGTTAGAGTGAAGTACATTTCAAAACAGGAAGAGTGTGTTATAGACTTCTCTTTTAGCTATTTCACCGTATATTAACAAAATGGTTTACACATGGTTTTTAGTTCATTTTAAAGATAGATTCAACAAGGAAAAAAATGTGAATGTGTCAACCATTATCCCTGGGATCTGGTATAGATTTTTTAAAAAGATACTATGAAAGGATTTATTTGTATAATACATTTACAATATAATGTGATTATATTTACATTTTGCTTTAAAGGCAAAGTGCTTATTTCTGAGTTTCCAAGATCCATTAAAATGACAAAAAGAGTACATACTGCACAACTTCCTTCAATAAGCAACAGAATCTTACAATGTGTTAATTTTCACCACACGATTTTATTATTTGAATAATCTCTCTGTCTTCCCCCATATCTTCCTCTTTCAGCCCTTGAAAACAAGTTTTAAATGAGACCTCTTTCATACTGAAAAACCTTTGCAAGTTTTATTCTCCATATCTAGCACAAACATGAACGAATAATCAAACAAAAATGAATATACAAAATGAAAGCAACAAAAAGGTGACAAATCAGTGCAGCCCAGTGGCAGCACAACTCAGTGGCAGAATCATCATTATGCCACCCCGAGGATGCCCAGCCTCAAGTTCAGCAGAGTTGGCTTCGTCAGTAATTGGATGAGAGGTCACCAAGAGAACATCAGGGATCTCAACGTGGGCTAGGAAAGAACCCTGCTTTGAAATCCTGCTGCCAGTCAAGAATTGACAATACTGGATGACAAATAGACAAAACAAGAGACGGAGCAAGGGCATGGAATGGCTCAACCTAAGCAAGTTCCTATGTACATGCTTTGCATGAATGTAATTGGCATAACCAGCTATTTGATTTGAAGTCTACAAAAATACTGGATACGTAGCTCAGTGGTTTAGGTCTCTGGCTGCAGAGCTAGAGGTTGGGTATTCGATTCCTTGACAAGGGCTGGACTTGGATGATCCATAGGGTCTCTTTTAGTTCTGCAGTCCTAAGATGATGTGATGATATCAGGCTAAAATATTTGGAAACCTGCTGCTAGTCAACCTATGTTGATGATCTGACTCATTAGGTGATCTTGGATTTTAAGTGTCTATAGCTGTGTCTTTTAACACACTTCCCTCTCTGCTCTCCTTTGAAGATGAGAACCCTAAGAGAAATATGATACTTCTTTGACTTTATTCCCTTGCCTCATATTTATCTAAGATAGGCTGTTGGCACTTTCTGTTAGAATGAAGTGCACTGAGTTGCTCTTTCAATTACAATTTTCTCTACTAAATGTTGTTAATGAGGACATAACAGAAGTTTAAAATCACCTCATTTTAAGAACTGGTTGAGGAAGTAAGGCCACCTCACATGATCATTATTTTATGCACACAAGCAACTTTGAACCTTTCCTGGTACCTTCCCATGATTTTTTTCTAGGTGCAGATACATCAAGAGCTGGGGCTGAGCATATGTTTTATAAACAGATTCAGATACCCATATGGACATCTATCAGGGAAAGTGTGGGCATTTTTGATATAAATAGTCACACATCATATGCTGCTAATTAAGGCACTGGCTTCCATTCTAAAACAAAAAAGGCAAATATCTATTAGAAGAAAATGTCAAAACAGATTACATCCAGTTTATTTATAAAAGGCTTGCACATTAAATTATGTTTTTTAAAAATGTACACACTCCTTCCTTCACTTGGTTTCTGAGAAAAAATTGTACTTGTGGTTATACTGCTGTTTCCTTTGACTCTGGCAACTGTGGAGGCTGGAAGTTTATCACTTCTTTGTATGTGATACCTGGGGAAGTTCAAAAGAAACAAAAGAAAAGTATTGCTTTTCTACTGTGTGAAACTGTGATTTTCATAAAAAGATGTTTAAACAATGCAAGAATGAATTATCATGAACAAAAACTGCTCCCCATAGTTTGGAGCCTCAGAACCAGCAATTAAAGTTATTATTGAATTTTCTGTTATAAGTAAACAATAATGTTAAATTTAACTATAATTACTATATAAATAATATGACATTACATAAATGATTAAAAATATTTGTAACAAAGACAGATTTGAAAGAGTTGCCAAATAACTGACCAAATATAGCTAGATCTACCCTGGTGCTTTATACTTCTGTTTGACATGCAGAATAATGAGCAGTTAATTTTTTCTTTCATTGCATGGAGGTAAACACAGTCATTTGTGCATCAAACTGTCTTTAAAGGAACTTTCAGGAATTGAAAACTTAGTCCTAGAGATATTGGGATTTTCATGTGCGTGTAACCCAGGGTTACTGATTTCAGATAACAATGACTACAACTCAAAAACACTTGTAGCAACTTTGGATTATGTCCAAACATAGAGGGACTTCCTCAGCAATTCAAGGGACTCCTTGCTTTGGATAAAGAACTAAAAAGAACAATGTTTAGAAGAAAACAGGTGAAGTCATATCCCATCCCATTCTATGGCTTCATTAGGAAAGTCTACAGGGGCAACTCATGGTCTAAATAGGGAGGGTGCCTCTCCCCAGAATTTCAGAATATGGCTCTTCCCTTTCTATTCACAAACTGCCTTTAGAAATCTGTGTGAATTGTAATTGAATTGTGTTATCCATCAAGGAATCTGCTGTACCTTTACCGGGATTTTTTTTTTGCTGTTTGCACAAGGAAAGGCAGTGATAACTGCCATAAAGGGCATAAATGCATGTGGGAACCTCAGGAAGCTCGAAATCCCTCAGAATGTTTCTCTTGCATTTTAATTTCCAAAGTTAGCCTGATTACAGCAGCTGAGGCAGGAAAAGAGTAGTTATACTCTCATTTTGTGAACCAATGTGGTTTCTGATCCTACTGCCTTCCTTCCAAGCTTATGTAGCATTCCAATGTCTCCTTTCAGTAAAGAAGTCTTTATCAGTCACTGCAAAGAAATAACTCATATTGACATTCTCTTAACTTTTCTGGTTCGGTCTTGTTCCCAGATATATTTGCTTAAAATAAACTTGTGCACCACTCTAGGAAATCCCTCTGCTTACAATCTATGATCAGTTGGTGAAGACAATGGTCAACATCACACAGATGCCAGACCTTAACACAACAGAACTTTCATCCTTTTCTTCCTTGTAGCAGGGCTCTGCATCAATCCAAAACTGCCTATCAAGCTTCCCAGCCCATACCTGAGCAGGCACTGAAGATGGTGCTGCAGTGGGGGGGTGAGTGGGTGAATTACGTTGTTCCCACTTGCAATGACAGAAACAGTTACCGTGTTTTTGCTCCATAAGACGCACTTTCCCCTTCAAAAAAAAAGTGAGGTGAAAAGTCTGTGCATCTTATGAAGAAAATACATTGTTTGGTTCCCTCTAGTAGTCAGTCTGATAATTGTCAGACCTTTTTTACAACGCCGATCTGGAAGGACGCTGCCTCAAGCTTTCTGGGACTAGGCAAAATGGTGGTGGCTTAACAGACCCCCCAGTACTGTACACATTAGTAGCACTGATACTACAGGGCATCTGTAGCAGCCCTGTAGGACCAGCGCTGCTTCCTGGACAGCCGAATCACATGATCAGCCAGACGCTGGGGGAAGCAGAGAGAGAGAGAGAGAGAGAGGGAGGGAGGGAGGGAGGGAGGAGAGCACCACAGAGGAAGGAAGAAGACTCATCCAGGTACTGTAAATAACATAATACAGAGGAATTCCTGGCTGGATTGCTGACTGGTGACATTGAGGGGCACATGAGGCATTGTTGGTGAAAAGTAGGATTTGTTTCAGTTGCTCACTGAGTGAAAGGCTTTTAGTTCTTTTGAGATTTGTCATACTATTCAAAGCAACCCACTCTAATGGTATCTTAAACCTGAATTTTTGATACCTTACACTGATGTATTTCACCTTGGGGTGTCTACTTCACTCCCCTAATGGTGAACATAATTCAAAATGTATTATATAAAGTAATAGACCTTGTCACGTGGGACCACTCTGGCTAGAGAGATACCATACAACTTTATTACACTATTTGGTTCAGAATATTTTTCCCTGTTTTCCTCCTCTAAAAATTAGCTGCATCTTATGCTGAGGTGCGTCTTATGGAGTGAAAAATACGGTATGTTAGTGGCAATGTCCTGATGTGTCAATCCTGGCTTAGATAAACTGGTCTAGGTTGGGTTGCAGGAAAAGGTAAGCAATATGGAAGGGAAAAAAACTGGAAAGCTGGAAGGGCAGCAGAGGGAGGGAAGAATATAGGGACCATAGAATTGTGCAGTTTTCTAAACTCGACAGAATTTTTAGCTCTTCTTCAGTTAAATATTTAAAAATGCCTGTATGCATGACTGTGTGCAAAATTGCACTTTTCTATATTAAGTCACTCTTTTCCCTGAAGGTTTTCTTTTAAAGTATTGTCATCAAACATACGTTTCCATTCCTCCAGAGGAAGATCCATGTTGTCAAATGAGTCATCATATTTTTCTGCTTCATTTTCTTCTTCAGGATCATGAACGGCCTCAAAATAAGGATGTGCCAAAGCTTCTGCAGCTGTTACTCGCTTCTCAGCATCTAACACCAGCATCTTCTCTAAAAGGCTCAATGCTGGCTCAATGGAGAGAAGAGACATTCACACACAAAAATGTAATGCTTTTAATTACAATTTCCATAATTCTAGACTTATAAGACAGTGTCCCAAATTATTTTGCTTAGGATAGTAAATTGCACCAGAGTAGGCCCAATGAATCTGTGGGAATGTACATAAATGCAAGACTGTGTGATACCTTTTACTGGACCACAAAAATCAAACAAATTGCAACCCTTATTTTTTAAAATAGGAACAAACATTATATAGTGAAATGTTCAAAGAGCATAGTGAAATGTTCAAACTTCACAAAAGCTTGTAACAAGGGCGTATAATGTACCCAACATCAATTATCCTAATTATTAAGTGTCCATGCTACATACAATTTTGCATTTTGTGATACTCATATATATATATTTACTTACCTAATGGATTTGCATGCTTCAAGATGGCAGCAAAGTCTTTTTTCTGCACTTTTGGAAGGCTTTTGATATAATTTTTGGCCTTGAAAGAAACCCAAAGAAAAGTGTGTTTACAGTACGAAACAACTTCATTTATTTATTTTAGTCCTTTCCACAGGGGTTGGCCTATTAGTTTGTTGCAACAAAATCCCTGACTAGGTAACAACTTCAAAACAAAAGGATTTATAATAGCATGAGCTTTCTTAAATGTGTTATTTTGTTTTGATCTTTTGGTCAGGATTACAGTGGGGTCTTGACTTGAGAACTTAATCCGTATTGGAAGGCGGTTCTCAAGTCAAAAAGTTCTCAAGTCAAATCTGCATTTCCCATAGGAATGCATTGAGAACCATTTGATCCGTATCTGCTCTTTTCAGTCCATAGAAACTAATGGGAGGCTGCTATTCCGCCTTCGACCACTAGAGGGGGATATTTTGTTTCTTTTTTTCTTAGGTCAAGAAAGGTTCAGGGAAGGCAGGGAAAAGACAGTCCAGGCAGTACAGTACCAGGCAGTCTGAAGACTCTCTCCCAATCCACTCTCTAAACGCTGGGAGGAGTGAGGAAGCAGACAGGGACCCTTTTCACTGGCCAACAGTTAAATGAAAGTTCAAATTTTGCACTTTCCCTGCCTCCCACGTGGGTTTTTTTCAGTTCTTAACTCAAATCTAAGTATGTAAGTCAAGTCAATATTTTCCTATGAGAGTGGTTCTTAAGTCAAAATGTTCTTAACTCAAGCCGTTCTTAAGTCAAGACCCCACTGTATTTAGTCTCAGAATTCACTGACTTCAGATTCTGTTCTGGTGATTACCATTAAGTGGTCACTATCACTCTAATAAAATGGGATGGCTGAAGAAAATAATATTGTACATCAGTGATTCTCAACCTTGGGTAACCCAGGTATTCTTGGACTGCACCTCCCAGAAACTCTTTTCAGTCCAAGAACACATGGGTTACCCAAGATTGGGAACCACCAATGCACATGTAGCAGATAAATATATGGTACAGTTCCATAAACATAACGTGAACAGAAGGCTCACTCAGACCCTTGCGATGCTCCCCCCACCCCCCACAGGGCCAGCGGGGGCAAAATCACCCTGGAAGCTGGCGATTTTGCCTGCGCTGGCCCTGTGTGGGCAGCGTCGCAAGGGTCCTGGAAGGCTCATTCGGACCCTTGCGACGCTCCCCACACGGGGCCAGTGGGGGCAAAATAGCAGCCTTTGCTCCATAATACGCACAGACCCCCCCCCCACTTTTTGGGGGGGAAAAGTGTGTCTAATGGAGCAAAAAATACGGTAATAATGAAATGTGAAAATATTACATATGGATCAGTTTTGGTTTTTTGGGGGGGGGGAAGTGTGTCTAATGGAGCAAAAAAATACGGTAATAATGAAAGGTGAAAATATTACATATGGATCAGTTTTGGACACTGACATATTTTACAGTTTTACAGAATTTTTGAAGTTGAAAAAAATGGGCGTTGTTCTGTTAAACCAAATGAGGGCCCTGTGTCCAAAGTGCAACAAAACAATTTTTCATGGAAAACATGTGTTCTGAAACTCAAGTTTTGAATGTCATTACTTTCAGAAGTCACCATGTTGGCTGAAATCCAACAGGAAGTCACAACTAGAGTATACCTAATGAATCAATGAAACTCACAGAGTAGCTAATTTATCAAATCCCCAGAAATTCAATAGGTCTGCTATAATTGAGATTTCCTACTGGATTCAAGCAATTATATCTTTGTGCTGAAATCTGCATTATTGGGCTAGTATTTGAAAAAGAATACAATTGACTCCTATGGCCAAGTTATTCTGGACTGGACCACCACAAATGGATATAAAGGGTGGGGCAGATGTTACACCCGTAGTTTAATACTTATCAATCCCATCTTATTATGGCCTGGGATTAAGAGAGCTGCAATCCAGAAACATTTGAAAGGCCACAAGTTCCTTAGACCTGCTTTAAAGTGCTAAACAGCAGTTGTGTAAATTGTGTAAATATTCAGAAATATCACACATTGTATCACAAATACTCCTTTGGATTTTGACAGACTTCAAGCATCAAGAGTTTATTCCATGTCTGAACATTTCTCATGTTTCAAGAAAACCCACTGTGTGTTAAAAGCTACAAGATTGGGAGGAAGCATTTAGGATTTCCTGGATTTGCTATTTTTTTTCACTTCAGGAAGTGAGTTTGTGGTTTGTTTAAATACAACACATAACCTGCACATTTGCAGCCCCCACTATCTGAAATGGAGGAAGGTCGGTATTATTTATTATTCACTCATTTTATGTATTTATCTGCCACCTTTCCTCCCGTAAGGCAGTGATCATCAACCTTGGGCCTCCAGATGTTCTTCAACTACAACTCCCAGAAGCCTTCACCATCACCTCTGCTGGCTAGGATTTCTGGGAGCTGAAGTCCAAGAACATCTGGAGGCCCACTGCCACTTTTCCTCCCGTAAGGGACCCAATATTCAATGATACTTCTGAAAACCTAGCCCGGAGCTTAAAATTACCTACTTACATCTTGGCTTTGTAGTTTCTGAACAAAATCTTGAGTTGGTGTGCCTGTAACTTTCATAATTTCTGTCAGCTGGTCCAGATCTGAATGCCAGTCAGGAATCAAATCCTTAGTCAGTGTATCACAAAGAAATCATGCTAGTAACTAATCTAATCACTTGCCTTTAGAAGTGGAATGTACCACTAAAGTGTAAAAAGAGAAGAGTTCTATATGAGCTGACTCTACATACACTAGGGACCATACGTCTTCATGACCACCACAGTTGGGTAAGAAAAATCTTAAACAGTAATCAGGCAGTAATGGAGCCTCGTAGCGCAGTGGTTAAACTGCTGTACTGCAGCCAAAACTGCTCACAACCTGGGGTTCAATCCCAGGTAGCCGGCTCAAGGTTGACTCAGCCTTCTATCTTTCTGAAGTCGGTAAAATGAGTGCCCAGCTTGCTGGGGGTGGGGGCAATGTGTAATTAATTTGTAAACCGGCCAGAGAGTGCTTGAAGTGCTATGGGGCTGTATATAAGTGGCACACCTTGCTTTTGCTTTTTAATGGGAAGATAGGAATACTTCTAGGAACATTCACTGGCAGATCATTTCCATTTTATTTCTATGCAGCCTTTGGTCTGATGTGCTTTAGTAAAGGTGACTACAAGTTTACACAAAATTTAATAATTATATTCAAGATTGAGATAATTTTTAAACTTTTCCCATAGAACTAGCTGTAATTACTTGCTTCAAGGTTTTGAGGACTTACAAGCGTCCTTGGCCTTTGCTCAACACTGGCTATCAGTAATACTTGCTGAACTTCTGGAAAGGCTCATAACCAAGGGAGAAACAGATAGGAAGTTGAACTCCGGTGGAACCAGAGAACATAAGATAAAGTAAAAGCCAGCCTTACAAGCCAAATGTCATGACCGAATAATATAGATCTCTGTCTGCAATTAATCATGCAAAACAGATGTAATTAACAACTCAGTTTTCTGCCAGGAAAATTTCAGCACGATCACAAAGCTTAAAATGGAATTATGTTTCCAGTAAGTAGCATCAAATGACATATGTATTATCAAGCAGCTAAAAACAGATAATTATTGGCTTGGTAAGTACTTTTGAACTCACTTATTTTGGTTCTGAATTCTTATGTACTTATTTAATGCCAGGTATTCATCATGAAAGGATACGATCATTGCCTTTGAAGAGTGGCCTTCCTGTTATCATCTCAGCCATTATACAGCCTACTGACCAGATATCAACTGAAATATGTAAAAATGTTACATTCAATTGCTGTGTGAAGCCCCTAAATTAAAAAAGAAAAACTAGAATCTTCAAAGAGCAAGTAGAAATACTAAGTCTAAGTATTGCTTGTTTCTTTGGTTTCTGCAGGAAGAACAACCCCAGCACCTGATTTTCAGAAGGTTTACAAGACTACAAATGTCTTCTTTCTTTGCTACTTTCTGGAGCTGGCATCTTTCAAGGAATGAAGACTGTGAGCCTTAGTTAGGGATTTCCACAGGGTCAACAGTCTTCATTGATTACATTTGTGCCCCACCTTTTCTTTAAGGAGTACAGGGTTGTGTACATGGTTCAGCCTTTCCCAACCTATTCTCTGAATATGTGCAGCAACAACTGAGAAGGATGACTGGGGATAATGGAAAGCTATAAGCCAACATACTGTATGTGGAAAGGTGTAGACTGCGTAAAACAGATTTAGGAAGTTAATGAAGTTCACTGACACAATGTGAAGGCAAGCTGATCCCAAAAGAGCTTGCTCACCATATGACAAAGACTTGAAATCCAAGAATTGAAGACATATTGGAACTCCTGAGGGAAGGGCATGAGGCCTAGGTGGCAGAAGTTTCTTTGCAGAAAGCCTGAATGGGAGTAAACTGCTGACAGCTACCCTCTTTTTGGCTCAAAACACAATACAAAGTGACAAAGTATTCTTCTTTGGTTGGTGTGCCAAGAAACCAATTTAACCAGAGGGTAGCTTTTTGCAGTGATCTCACTTGCAAATACTATACTTAAAGAAATTAAACTATGGTTTCTTAATCTATAGTCAATTTCTTAATCTAATTGGGGAAAACCAGTATTAATTTTAGTGTGAAACACAAAAAGTACCTGTTTGTGTATAATGCATCCAATTTAGTATAACCTCTGGGGCTCTGTACCACCTGGTAACCACATAGCCAGTCATCTCGCTATCTGTATGCCTAGCTAGGCCAAAATCCAGAATCTGTTACAGAGGAACCAAATATACATTATATTCACAAGTCCAGATTAGCCATAAACTTTGATCCAGATTTGCTCGCATATAGAAAACACTTACTGAAATCAAATGGGCTTAAGTTGGTCATGAATCACATACATGTCTTTGACTTCAATGGGTCTGTTCTATATTTGACTAAATCTGGATTCATCCCTTTGAAAACAGCAATGAAGAGAACAAATTGTACTAATATTCTGTTATTGTCTTAGAAAATCATGTTAGAACTAGCATGTAAATATTAGTTCTGACTTTCTCATGCTCCCATTCTAACATTGGTAGTGCAACGTATCTGCTGTGCTATATTATGATCAAAAATTACTTGTCCCACAATCTCCTGCTCCTTATCAATGAAAGTTTCAAGATTAAATTGTGCCAGGGTTCTCCCCAAGCATCTGTTTTCAAAGCCAGAGACCAGCCTTTAGAATTTATGAAGGAGAAACTAATGCCATGAGAAGTAATATCACTTTCTGCTGATAATTCTCAAGGCTCATTTGACTTAATTTTATGATACCAGAAATAAGGGTTTGTCCACTTATTGGTGTGGACTGCTGTGAGGGCATGTCTCATTCACTTGCCTACGCACATGCCCAACAGCGGACCTGAGATGTGCACACCCCATCAATCAGTCATGGCAAGGAATGCAACCCTTACGAAAACAACAGTAAAATTCCAATCAGTATGTTTTGGATGTTAGAAAGGTATGGTTCCACCACAAATATCTATTTCAGACATGGGGAAGAATGCACAGATCTAACTGGAAAGTGATAACAGGAAATATCTCGATAATTCTGACAAATCCCAGGATCAGTAATATTTAATGGGCAGTAGGAAGGGAGTTATCAGATATGAAATAATTCTGAGTTGTGAATTATGAGGCTATTCATTTTCACTTGAAAATCTCTTATGTCAAATTTATTAGTATCAGAAGAAGAGTTGTCACGAAGATCTATTTCAGACATTGGGAAAAATGCACAGATCTAACTGGAAAGCGATAACAGGAAATATCTCAATAATTCTGACAAATCCCAGGATCAGTAATATTTAATAGGCAGTAGGAAGGGGGTTATCAGATATAAAATAATTCTGAGTTGTGAATTATGAGGCCATTCATTTTCACTTGAAAATCTCTTATATCAAATTTATTAGTATCAGAAGAAGAGTTGGGTGTATTACCGAAGAAATCCTAACCCTGCCTACAGCAAGGACATACAGTAGTTTTTAAAGTGTTTTTAAAGTGCCTTGATTTGACAGAAACACTTTTATGCCTCGCTTAGCATGGATTTTCGTCCATTTAGCGACGAAATTGCTTAGCGACGCTGTTTTTGTGATTGCAAAAGCGATCGCTTTGCGATGTTCTCTATGGGGTATTTTCGCTTTGCGATGATCGCAGGGAAGTGATCATCGCAAAGCCCCCATTTTCGCACAGCTGATCAGCAGTTTCAAAATGGCCGCCGGGAAAAAAACATGGCCACCCGCTGTGTTTATGGACGGATTCCTCGCTTTAGAGGCACCGAAAATGGCGGCACTATGGAGGATCTTCGCTCAATGGTGAGGTTGATCTTCGCTCAACGGTGAGTTTTAAGCCCATAGGAACGCATTGAAGGGGTTTCAATGCATTTCTATGGGCTTTTTAATATCGCATAGCGACGTTTTTGTTCTGCAGCGATTTTTGCGGAATGAATTAACGTCGCTAAGCAAGGCAGCACTGTAAATACACTGAAGATCTTATTCATAGAAAAAATGTATCTCAGCTAATCAAGGGAATTGCTAAATAAATGCGCATGTCTTTTTCTTATCAAATCAGCATTGTGGATGCATGAGATTAGACTGGAATATGTTCTTGTAGTTCCTTATACTGTATTTGCAAAAAAAAATTATCTTCTCTCATATATATTGTGGCTTTCCTCCCTTAATTTAATAATGTTTCAGGTTGCAGAGAAATACTGAAGAAACTCAAAACCAGCCTTACACTATCAACCACTGAATGTCTTTGAAATCCAGTTTGTTTAAAGGCAAATGGAATTTAATGGCTGGATTCCTGTTGGCATAACCATACCTGTGGAAGGGTGATGATGTCAGTCCAGAATATAGAACAACAGTAGTCTGAACAGTAATTCTGGAGAATACATCATAATTTACAACTCAGAATTATTTCATATGGGATAACTCCCTTCCTACTGCCCATCTCTCACTCCTTTCCGTGTATAAAATGACACTTTTTCCTACTCACTCCTTTTACCGTATTTTTCCGTGTATAAAATGACACTTTTTCCTTAAATAATTTGAAAATTTGAGGGTCGTTTTATACATGGAAGGCAGCTCTTTACCACTGCCTTTTGCGAAGGCACAGGGCTTAGCAAAAAGGTAGGGGAGGCGTTGCTCCCTTTGTTTTACGGGGCTTAGCAAAAAGGAAGGGGAGGCGTTGCTCCCTTTGTTTTGTGGGGCTTAGCAAAAAGGAAGGGGAGGAGTTGCTCCCTTCCTTTTAGCTAAGCTCTGTGCCTTCGCAAAACGCAAGGGCGCAGTGCACAGGGCTTAGCAAAAAGGAAGGGGAGTCGTTGCTCTCTTCCTTTTTGCTAAGCTCCGTGCTTTCTCAAACAGCAAGGAAAAGCGACAGTCACTTTGGCAGCCGTTTGCCTTGCCTTTTGCCAAGGGACGGGGCTTAGCAAAAAGGGAGCCCTTTGATCAAGTAGACGTTGTTTAGAGGGGTGGGGTAAAAATCAAATCAAATCAAATCAAATCAATCAATAAATCAATCAATAAATCAATCAATAAATAAAATCCCTGCTTTTTCTAATTTGGGGTAAGAAAAGGGGGGGGTCCATCTTATACATTTGGTCGTCGTATAAACAGAAAAATATGGTACTTACTTTCAAGTAATGCTGGAATTACTGATCTTTGGTGTCTTAAACTACCTTAAAACTATATGGGTGGTGGGAAAGGGGTGATCTGGAATGAAATCATTCTGAGTTGTGAATCATGTATTTTGTAAAACTACTGTTCAAACTGTCACTGTTCTGTATTCTGAGACTATGAAGTATTTTTCTTTTTCTATAGAAAACGTTTTCAGAAAGGTACCAGTCTGAAGCTTGAGCGGGGGAAATCCCCAGAGAGGATACTTGGCTGAAAGTCAGGGACGTTCTACCTCGCCCATCTGCAACAATGCCTGGTAAATTTATGCTGGCCCCTTCTCTGGGTCCCATAAGCCATATCAGGGGACAATTGTAAATTTCCCATCATCCAGCATCCTGGCATCCACCAACCCATCCTATGGCTCTTTCCTGGCTGCACATATAAGAATCCTACCCCATCTGGAGAATTTCTGAGACAATTCAGTTGGGCTTTCAGCTGCTCAGGCCAAATCTCACTGTGCTGCAGGCTCTCAGCAGCACTTCCTCCTCCTCCTTTCACTCTTGCCCTGGGGTATGGGTCTCCTCTAGGCTGCAAACCATTAAAGGATAACCAGAGGCACTGGATTGCAACCAGCATGAATAGGGAACTCCCAAATCAATCTGCAGCCCCTGTGTGAACACTGCAACTTCAGATGTAATACAGGCTGAGAATCAAATCTTAGCAAAGCTGAATCATTCCAATTTAGTTCTCCAGTGTAGCCGCACCCCAAGATGGGAAAGGCTTACTTTACTAGCTTCAGCTCACTAACCTTGCCAGCTGGCTTCAAGTGGTTGTGTGAGAAAAACCGGCAACCAAGCTATCCAAAAACCATTCTCCTCATGTTCTATATTCTGTTCTCATTTCCATGGAGAAACAGATACTTCAGTCTCAAATAAGCACTTTTTGCAAACAGATGTGCAAAGAAAACAATCTCAACCTCTCTCTGTCTCTGACATCATCACTAACTCTCCAAGTTGAAGCCTTGTCCATGAAACAATGGCTTTGTTTCAAAGAAATGCAGATGCCCTTGATATATGTGCTTACATGAAGCAGCATTTTGGCAAAGAACAAAGAAATTAAAGCGAAAAGGGACCATTCACTATATATTTGAACATTGGATTGGGGGGAGAGATTCAGAACATGGTACCTCTGTATACCAGCTGTAATGGGGATTCCACCCACCGACTACATTTTTTAAAAAACAGAGCCATTAAATTATAAAAACAGCAAAACTCATTATTAGTCCTCTCACTTTCATTTTACTTGAGAATTCAGGAGAAACCACCTGGAGGCTGCAATTGTTGCCTCTCCTTCCAGCACCTGCTGCCTGACCCCAGTGGCTCACCTTTCCTGGGGGTAGGGCCTGCCATGTGGGATAAAGTTCTGTCAACATGCAGATAAAATATTCCATTATTTCAGCAGAGATGAAAGCAAACTGCCAAAGAACTGAACAAACATTATATTTGTTCCACCTAATATCCTTCCAAATCTCCCTTACAGCCATTTCCATTTCTTCAAGCGCCTGCAGGTTCATACTGAACATTTATGCTGTTTCTTTTAAAAAAGGCAGATTGACATTTCTTACCTTCAGTTCACAGTCTTCATTTACTGCTAGGTTTCCAGGTTTCAAGTCCTACAAGTACATGATTAAAAACAACCCTGAAGTGGAATTCTTCATACACAGTACAAATGCTTTTTTTTTTTTTTGAGAAAAAGCAGTGTTTCAGATTCCTTGACAATGGGAGCTAAAAATAAACAGTAGTAGCCAGAATGCATGTTAAATTGAATTGTTGCCCAAATCTGAACACAGAGATGCCTGTATAATCATATAAGCCTCTGCCCATAGTAACAAAAATAAAAAGCAGTAATGTTTAAAATTAAAGTAAAACTGAGACAACTCAACCCTCAACTTGTACTGTAAGTATTACATAAAATTGCCTAGTGGATTTCTGTAATTGAAGAATTTGCAATGAAATTTTGAAAATGGACTCCAATCTTCTGCTATCCCAGAAAGTAATCCAAGGCCTCACCAATGTTGTGCTAAGGCAAGGTATATTGGATACATGTCCGGGCCTAAAGAGGCCAGGCCTGACATGCTGGTGTTATCACTCTCAAAGAAGACAAGGATAAGACTTCTCATCTCATGCCATCAGCTGTGCTAGTCTCAGAGTAAGGCCTGGCAGGTGGTGGGCTGAATGTTGTTGGCACCTTCTAATTTGTGGTACAAGGTTGTGACATCTTCACTGAGTGAACTAAAAAAAATATCATACACATACAAAGAAAGACCAGCATTCCTAGTAGTAACAGGTAAGCTGTGATCAAGATACAGAGGTGCCCTGCCACTGAATGATGAGGTAGACCTCCTCAACTTGGACAATGAGCTATCCTGCTGGTAATTAACTCCCAAAAGGTGTTCTTCACTTCACTACACGATCATTTTAAATAAAGCATATTCAGTCTCCTTAGAGTTGAACACTTGTTTGGACCATGTGGTACCTCTCTGGTTAAAGAAATCATCTAGAACAGGAGGGGGTATGCAGGGGGTGGGAAGAATTGGAATTCAGCTGATCCTTGGTCAAAGTGCCACATGAAAACATTCCACCTGGCCAAAGAACTGATGATGTCAGGGTTTGCAGCTCTTGCTCTGATGTACTGTAGCCCACACCTCTACTTGTTTTCTGTTCTTTGCAGCTGCTCTAGGCACTAGGTAATAATTACTAAAACTGTGTAATAAAAGTTACTCTTCCTGCTCTAGCTAAGCGTGAACACACAATGGTAATATCATTTTTAAAATATCCCATAAATGAATTCAAAACAGTCACATAGCCTATTGTATTAATGTAACGATCCTTCAGTTTAGCAGTACTAATACAGATTGTATCGTCAGTATCAAGGCAATAACTATTCATTCCTGTGCACTGTAAAAGGTTACTGCATCTATCACCAGATATCTCTGCTGCCTGGTATCTATCTGTGTTCTAAACCAGTTGCTCCCTTGGTTTGCTTCTTTCCAAAAACAACACAAAAGAGTAAACCAACAAAACCTGAAAAGAGATATTTCACTTACCCTATGAATTATTCCTGAGGAATGAATATACTATGAGGAGATAGAGAAATACAACAATTTATTTATTTGATAATGAAAATATATTGATCATACAGTATATATCTATGATGCTATTGTATAAATTTTAAACCTAGAAATGAAGACTTGACAATTGTTAGTGAGGCAACCAGGCAAAGTCTTCCTTTCATTGGACAACAAGTCTTGTCTTCTGCAAAACAGAGCACTTCTTCCTGTAAATATTATATCTCATGCCTTCAGACCAATACTCTCTTTTATTTACACATGCAGGAAACCACAGACTTCCAACTAACCTCCCTCTCTCCCTCCCTCTCTCTCACGCACATTCTTTTTACTGCAAAGACTAAACACAGATAAAATAGATATTCAAAACAATACATTTTATACAATGGGGATGTGGAACAATTTCCAGAGATCTGGAGGTTTAATCTGCTTCGCCAGTCTATGGAAAGATGCATCCTAGTCCCCTAACCTTCATTTCTTTTTTTTACTAATGAAAAAGCCCCCTTTCAAACTCTGGCAGCAATTTATTTCCTGGCCGGGGGGCGGAACAGTGTACAGCACCCCAACATGTCACGGAGGGCACAGGGGAACTTGAATTGCATTATTGTTTTTATTTTACTCCAATTAGAGTCCTGTTGGACTTGGAACTTGCCATTACTCTTGAGTTTTCTACACCAGCATTAATTTATATATTTTAATCTTTGTCTTTACTTCTTCTTCCACTAGGTGGGAGCAGGGAGGGAGCTGCTGAGAGTCCAAGAGTCATTTACATGCTCCTCTGGATCTCGGTAGGACACATCCACCCATATTTCAAAACCAGAAGAAAGCTGTTTCTGTTTTAGAACAGGAAATACTACTTGGGCCCTCAAATGGGGAGGGGGGAATAACCTTTAAACAGCCATGAGACATCCTTCCAGAGGAGACTAAAATTGTGTTAATTGTGTGAGTGACTACACAGCAAGAGAAATGCATATTCACTCACATTAATGTGCTGTCAAGTCACACCAGGGAATTTGGGTCTGTTCGATTTAAGTGTCCACAAAGCAAGACAGGAGAAAGCCTTGTTTGCAGCTCTATTGGAATGCTGTAGCAGGTGTGGTTAGAAGGAACTGCCTTGACAAGCTATAACAAGGGGTTCCTTCTTCGGTTCCCTCATCTTCTTAGCCTTTTAAAAAAAGAAAATTATGCCCATTGAAAGCTCAGTTCTTAAGGTGTTTAAGTTTAAGTGAACACATGCCTGAACCAATGCAAATAAATCTTTTTTTCCCTTTTCTGTTTTGTTAAAAGAAGCACCAGTGGTGGTGGTGGGGACTCAATTTCAGGTGGAAAACTCCAGACTGATTTGCATTTCCCTTTGCATCATGTGGTCAATGGAGAGGGAAATGTGAATCAGCCCTCTTGCAGCATGCCCATTTCACCAATAAAGCCACACTCTAAGGAGGTTCACAGAAGGAAGGTTTTCCACCTGTTTGTCCCCTCTGCACTCCATCCCACATTGTTTAGGATGGTCTCCTGCCTTTGAAAAGGGATGCTGAGAGACAAAATATGGGAACGGTATATGGGTTTCCCCCCTTTAATTCTCAGAATTATGTCCATAAATGGGCTGAGGATGCTGGGTAATCTAGTCCATAAATTAACATTTGTAGGCTCTTGCCAGTAGTTGCAGGGAAAGGGAGTGTTAGAATGAAACACACACGTTAGTGGTATTTTAGAAACACAAATATATTGAAGCTGCTTCATGCAGCTAACCCTTTTCATGTACTGTGCTTTTGCATGTTGTTTTCCACCATGAGATTGCAGACTACGTTTGAGATAAAGAGCAACTGAGTATAATTGAAGGACCTTGTGAGCAGATAAGCTTAGGCAAATAATATCAGAATGGAACACACACACTGTATATTGAAGAAAACAATAGCTTAACAGCACAAAGGTGAACCAAGGACAATATAAGCAGGTTTGCGTGATCAGTGTTCAGGTTCAAAGATGTCCCCCAAAGTAAATAATCTTCTATTGATTTTTCCAGATAGACTATGTTTGTTTAAGTTGAACACAAAGTAGACAACAAATCCAGCATGTAATAATCTGTGTGAAGCAGGCAAGGAAATAACATATCCATTACGGTCTTGCTGAGCATCCATGTGGAGCTGAAGTTGATTTAGTGAGACATGGACATGCAAGTCTCTACTGAAAACATCTGGGAGTCATCAACAGTGGAAACTGTGTTTGTACCGGTCAAGTCGCACTGCTCTGATAGAGGACAAATAGGCCCATTAAACTAAAGACAGTACAAGAAAGGACTCTCAAGTTGACAATTATGTTTGCAAGGGGTAGGTAGGTCAAGCTATCTCTTGCTGCCAGCCTGTGGACTTTCTGCTATTCTCTCTGATATACGTAGAAATACAGAAAATATCACATCCTTGTATGTTATTTTAGGATGTTTGTGCCATGTTTCCAGTCTAGCTACCATGTTCTTCATATGGTATGAAGAACATTCCAGTAAACATTTAAAATCCTACTGAAGATGCCAGATAAATATGCTCACCTCCATTAAATCTACCCCTGTGGGCAAAGTGTGGCCTCAAGGCTGTTTCTGATGTCACCCTGGCCTCATCAGACAATTCCCAGAAGAAATGTCTCCTTCCCCAGCAAGAAATAGATCCTTGTAGCCATAATTAGGTCACACCCAGCCGCTTCCATCAAGAATATCAACCTTTCAAAATCCGAAGTATACCCCCAACTACTTCCAGTTTCATTCTTGTAACTTTTTTGCCATTCATGACAGTCTGTTCAGCCATGAAAATTGGCCCCCAGACCCACCAATGTTGCCCACCCTCATTTGAACCAAAGAAACAGGAAAACACAACAATTTTGGCAAGAAGTAGACTACTGCAGAAGTGTTCAACAGTTAGTGACAAGTTTGTCTTACAAAAAAGGAAAGCAATCCTTTCAGTCAAAGGATCAAGATGAATCAGGACATATTTTGTTTTGGTCAAAAACGATTCAAAGGATAAAGCTGGTGTGTGTGTGTGTGTGTGTGTGTGTGTGTGTGTATGAGTCCTCACCATGACTAAAATGGGATGCTGACCCACTTTATTTTTAAATTAGGCCGCCAGAAGAACTTTTATCTTCTTGTTATGTAACGTTTTTGCATTTTCATTTCTCACTGAGGTAATGGGCCACTGTGGACATCCATGAGAGGCTATGAGCAATGGGGAAGCAAGACTGTAACATTCCCACCCACCAGGTATTATTGTCCTCCCTCTGAACTCACCATAGATGGCCCAAATTGCACAACTGATTCAAAATTGCCCATTTTAAAGAAAAGAAGCAAAGGAAAATAGTTGAAGCCATGGAAGACAAATATGTGTTAAAACACAATAAATTGGGACTCAGAAATGACAAACCCGCCACAAAGAACTGGGGGAACAAAAGGGATTCAATGTAATTAAGGCATATATCATGTAGGTACAGCTTATTTCACTTCCTTGCTTCTCAGTAAATATCCGTTCAATAAACCTAGCAGAATTCTATTACAAAATACATTTTCTTCTTCATCTTTCTTTCTGCCACTTCCACTGAACTAGTGAAGTACAGATACCCTTTCAATATTAATGGGGAGGTAAAAATAAAAATATGAAGGAATTAAATATTGAAATTTGCCTGGTACACTAGCATTTTGTTTACCTCATCTTATGCGGCCTTTTCATTCAGCTGCTCAAACTGTTTCTATGTATAGATGCCCTCATTACCTAAAAATGAATACAGTTGCTACAGAAGAAACCCCCTCTGTTTTAGCCAGTAAATCTAGGTCAAGATGCAATCTGAACTCCTAGCTACTTACACGCTTTATTTAAAGGAACTGTTCGTTTAACAAATTTAGGGTATTCTAATCCATATCACCAGATGCAAAATCTGAAACCTGTACATCTCCAAGAAGATTCAGCAGTCTTTATTTTGGAATTTCCTTGAAACAAGTAACCTGGCCTGTATATCTAGGCATGGATTTTGGAACTTCTGGCTGAAAGCCTGTTGCCCCAAGTTACATCACATAAAGCTAACATCATCAGCTATGTTGACATTTTGGAAGAAAAATATATCTGATTTCTCTCCAGAAAGCCTTGAGGCTCCTATGGAACACCTTTCATCATTGGAAAGCTGTTGGAGACTGGGGGCGGGGGGGGGAGTCTTTAATCCCTACTGCTAGAATGACTCTACTGGCAGCAGCAATTTTGGGTAATTAAGGACTTCTCCCTTCTATCCCACAGCCCCCAAGAGCTTCCTGATGATGAAAGATGTTTCATGACAGCCTCAGGACCTTCAGGGGTGAAATCAGAAAGGTTTATTCCAAAAGATTGCTGATGACATCAGCCTTATGCAGAGTAACGTATGCCACAGGATTTCAGTCTTTATGTTTTTCCCCTCTACCCTCTTCAGTTCTGTAATGCCCAGCCTGATGAAGACTCGTGCAAAGTTGACAGCTAGCCTTTGTGTATGAGATTTTAGTGGTGTAACAAAGGTATTATCCAGCCTTCCCTTTAGATTGTGTGCAGGCACCATTCAGCTTTTTCCTTTTTGTTTTTAATTCAAATATCCAAAAAATGGAAGAAGGAATTTCCATTCTTCAAGTTTGCAGAAGTCAGACTGAGTTGAAAAGCAATCTATTTCTTATTTAAACCAATGGACAATTTAATTGAATGGTTTCATATCACAGCAAGCCATGATTCCTGACCTACTAAACCATATTGTCCATAAGTAGCATGCTGGTACATATAGTCCAACTGTTCTTGCTTTATCTTTTCTTTTCCCATAGTGGAAAACAAATCAGGAAACTTTTGCTGAGCAGAACTTCTGTTACATATGAAGTTAGAATCATGGTTTATTGTCCCCAAACAAGTCAGGATTTGTAAGTAAAACCTGTAATCCATATCATTCAGAGCTGACTTGTGTACCTCAGCTTGGGAACAGACAACCATAGTCCCATGTTCAGATATAAGACAAAGTAGGCTTAGTGGCACCTTCTTAGTTTGCTTATACACTTATGCAAACAGTGTAAGCAATGGGATGTATGTGTCAATATTCTGCTCACTGCATTATGGTTCAATAAAGCAGGATCCACTGCTTACTGTGATCTGGGAATACAGTCAATAACCTGAATGGAATAAACTGCATGCTTAAGAATGTTGCTTTCATCTATGCTACAAATGACTAATGGAAGAAAAACAAGTAACCATTCTACATATTAAAACCATCAAACTCTTTCGTCTTCTTATGAGTAAATTAAGTACAGTATGTAGGTTGTAGTAAATTATACTTCAACGTAAGTTTTGGAGAGAATCTGATACAGAAGTAACATGAGAACTAGCCATATTTCTCTAGAAAGTGAGCATGGAAAACTAGGCATGCTGGCTTGGAGATTATGAAAATTGTAATCAAAAACAAACAACAAGCAAACAAAGACACCTCTTCCAAGCTCTATTCAAAACCAGGGCTTGCAAACGCATTTCAAAATCTCATTTCAAACTCTGTTTACAAGGGCAATCTTTTCTGATGTTGAGGCAGACCTATCTCTACACTGTGGGTAAAGTAAATAATTGAAAGGACTGAAAATTTGTGTAGAAGAAAGCAGAATTATTTTGGATCCTATGAAAAAGTGAGGGTATAAACAACAAAATATAGAAAGATCTAACCTTTAAGCCTTTTAATATTTGATAGACTAGGAACTGGATCCTGTCTTCAGTTAGTTTCTCATGCTTCATTATTTTACTCAAGTCTGTTCCCATAAATGGCATGACAAGGTAGCTAAAAAACAAACAAACCAAGGGAAATCAGACATAAAACAATGTACATTTGTGTTCTGAAAAGTAACCATAATAATACATTAGTATTACAAAATATCTTTTTAGGCAACTGTTTTACTGATTATAAAAACACTAAAAATGGTTGTAGTTACTAATGGTGCAGTATTTTGAAAATGCTTAATGCAAGCCTTTTTTTCCTTGACTGAACATCATACTTAGTCCATTTGTTTTAGAAAAGAATCCTAAACACACTGCCAGAACCAGGAAGGAAATACCAGTGGGAAATAATGTAATCAAAATGACAATATTTTATACTATCACGTGTTCATGGTTGTATTTTGAAAAAAAAAAGGGATTGATTCAATGAAATGTTGAGTGGTTTCAGAATGATCTATTATAGAACATGGATGGGAGGGAAAGGGATGACATGGAGAGAACAGGAAATTATTGTTTTCAATTGGGTTTTTTAACAAGGAATTTAAATACACAGCAAAAAAAAGCTGGATTTTATTTTTGTAATGCTTCTTTGTTTAGCTGAAAAGGCAGGAACAAACTGCTTGGATTTAGAAGTATTTACATGAGCAGAAAAGCAATTCCACCTTGCACAAAGCAGCAGCTTCCGTTGACTTCCTCCCATATCATAATTGACACCATTTTTAACAGACTCCCAGCCCTTGAGATTGGCTTTTGAGGGAAGCACTACAGGCTACGCTAATGAAGACAAAGCAAGAAGTTGAATGGTCTTTGCAGTTCTTAGGATCCATGCTGATACCTTGGTAACTATTTCATCATTCAAGAGAGAAACAGAAGCATTTCTAAGGCCTGAAGGGCATGAAAGCAAAACAACCAAAACAACCACATTAGAAATGAAAAAATCATTTTCAGATCTATAGCCACAAGTTAGCTAAAGATATATTTTTGGATGTCTTGTCAGATGTCTATTTTTTGGATACCATACTGATGTACAACATGTTCCTACATATGCTAACTTACAATTAAAACCCACTGTCTTTAATTACAATTAAATCCCGCTGAACCCTAAACATGCAAGAATTGCTTTGGCTTTTATGGAAATTCCAACCTATGCTCTTTAAATGAGAAAAAAATGCCATCCACGTAAAAATGACTTGATAGATGGGAAAGGAATGAAAAGGGCAAAACATGTTCAATTTCGTAAGGCTATATATAAACCAAAGGGCAAAAAAGCAAAGCTGCTCAATCGATAACCTGGGTAAGGAAGGAACTAAGTTTAATCTTCAGAAGGCTGATCTGTCTTCAGTAATGAAAACATGGCTGTGCACTCTTCTGCATGATTTTATTACCGCTAATTTGCTCAGACTCATGAATATTTTAAAAATAAATGAAAATTGTTCACTAATTGCCAGAGCAACATAAGGGTACTTAACAAGCGTAGCTTGCTGAAGGAGTGTCATGGGTATAGGTTTTAAAATAAAAATGTTTAGATTTCATATTGATAGGAGAAAGGCAAATAACCCATATATAGGATAAAAACCAGGCATCATCCACATACAAATGCACTGCTATTTTACAATTAGGAGAAAAGAAAAGAAAAGGAAAATAACCTTGTTTCTACAGATGCATAAACTGTTCGAACGATTCAATAGTGCATTCAAGGAAAACTGTTGAACTGTAATAAATTCTGGCTCCAGTACCAAGGGAATATATGCGACAAAGGACAATGGTCAGCAACTGTCTTTGGATGTTGATGTTTGCAGACACTGAACATGGAATTTCTGTCTTAACCATCCTCATTTCATGGAGCATCTATGAGATACGGTCACTTCCTCTTACAATGAAGTGGCACAGAACTCTTTTAAGCTAGACAAAACAGAATGCTTCCTCTTTTTCAGTTTAGTCTTTTAGTCACAAGAACAGCCACTTTTAACCCCACTTTTTTAAAAATCAGATCAGCCAACACTCTATTTTCCCTCTTTAGTGATGGAAGACTGAACGAGTTTTTAAAACACAGAATATGAAAACAGTGTCTAACAAGCTATGTCTAAACACCATTCAATACTCTGAAAAAATATATCAGGAACATTGGCACAGCGCAAAGTCAAAAGCCATACTGGTTTTAAAAAGAACATGTGTTTGTATGTTTGAATAAATCTTCTGCAAGTTTAGTAGTGATTTTTGATAAAAGTGTAAGCACTGACCGAGATGAAATGTTTATAAAATTTTTGTTTCTTTAAAAAATGCATTGAGAAAATATATTTCTAAAAGAAGTAGGGCTAGATCTAACTGTTAGTTCTAACTGGGGCAGAGCCACTGAATGAATGGGGCTTGTTCAGTCAACGCTTACAATTCAGTGGCTAAAATCCTGTTGTGCAGTTACACAAATGGCATAATGTTTGGAAGCAAATTGCCATTATGTTAAGAAATCTCCATAGGTATTACTTGTTGCATAATGAGCTAGGCATCTTGGTGTGCAAGACAAGGCATATGGAGATTTCTTAATTTAACACAGTTCATTTCTAAAGTTATGCCATTTGCACAGCTGCCGAACAGGATCTCACTGAATGGGTCTACTCTGTTAATGGGATTAACAACCGGACTGAGACTACAATATATCTAAGTATCTCGTACAGTAATTTATTTTACTGAATTTACAGGGAGAAAAACCCTATGGTAAATACTACTACCCTTCCCATGACAAATATCAGTCCACAGCCTCATCTGTTTCACTTTAATGCACAGAACAGATCTAGTTTTACAAGGAAATCTACTTCACAGATATGCATACCAAAGGAAGCGAGAGCAGAATCTTACTTTCACACATATTACGTTGATTCAAATACTAAGGAGAAAACATTAAAACAAAGAGAAAAAAAAGAATCCATACCCAAGGAACATGTGATAGAAATAAAATCATGATACAGGGCCCAAATATGTTCATAAAGGTATAAACTTACAAGTCATTAAATTTATCCAGTGACACGTCTGGTGTGAAAACATCTAGTAGTCCAATTACCTATAAAAAAGAGGAGGGAACAGAAAGAAAAATGGCACATCACAAGCTCCAAACAAGAAAAGTATTTGGAAGTTTTTATACATAATGGAAATACAGATCACTGGAGCCAGGGTCATCTCAGGCCTGATCAGGCATAGTGAATATCTGGCCTTCTAGATGCTCTGGACCGGCTCCCAGAAGCTCCAGCTACAATGGCCAATTGTGAGAGATCACAAGAGTGGCTGAGCAGAACATAAGGAGGGCCAATGGTTCCCTAGCCCTGATGAGGTACATTGGCAATATATCAGTAACACTTGTTTATATCAACACAGAGAGAAGGGTTCCTAACACCTGAGAACAAGTTATCTGCAGTAGTTTGGTTTCCTCCATTCTTCCCACTGAAGGCCTCCTGAAGGCACTCTGGGAGAAGTGTGACTGTACCTTCTATTTACATGAAGAACTCTTGCAACCTTTTGTGTCATCAATGCTCTCATCAGGAAATCTGCAGGAAAGAACAAAACCTGCTGTAGCCTCTTTGAGGCTACCACGTATATTTGGCATGAACTCTCATGGACAACAGCTGGCAGAAGGTTAATGTTGTGTGAACTAACTGATAATGAGGATTAAAAATACATTCTGATTTTTTGGCATATAAATACCATGGTCAACCTAAACATTAGCTGGAGTGTTGACACTAATCAACTGCTAAGGCAATAAATGGGATGCTCCTCAATGGAGCAGAGTACAGTATTCCTAACTAGGAGCAGGATGGCACTCTCTGTTTAAGAAGTACTCTGGCTCACATCCACCCTGATAAGAGCCAGACAAAATAAATAAACAAACATAAACATTATTGGATAGACTTTCTTAGCCAGAGTTGTGTCCAGAACTCCATGTAATGAAAGCCTTACACTTAAAAGAAATCTGAGATACTATCAGGTTTTGCACAGCAGAGAAAAGGGCAGCCAGCATGAGTTGTGTTTAAATGTAGTGCTAAACAGTGTCTTGTGGCCAGAGATGGGAAAAGTTATTCCTTTGGATTATAGTTCCCAGAATACCCTCAGCCAACACTGACCAAGACATTCAGGGAAGTGGTAGTGCAAAAAAGTAACTTTTCCATCTTTGGATTTAGCATTACATGACCACAAACATTGCTTACTACTAGCTATTTCCTCCTCTCCCTCCTATTCCTGCTCTGGCATGGCCATTAGGTCATGAGAGGTTTTTCTTTCCATTTTTAACTAACTGCAGTTTAGTGTTATTCTTTATTTACCACAGGCTAAATATAGTTAGACCTAACTATTGTTTTCTGAAACATGCCATCATCAAACAAGTTTGGATGGCTGGATGTAGTGTCAAACTTTATGTGACTCGAAATAGGAAAGAAGCCTTTCAATTTGCTCTGCTCCATTGTTCAAGACAAGGGCTCCTAGTCCTGGATCCTCAGATGTGACTGGATGATGATTCCTACAATTCCAGGCCACTAATAAAAATATATGGGAACTAACTTCCTAAACATGGAAAAAATGGTGGAAGAGAGGTCTGCCAGTGCTTGTACTCACGTTTTCGTGCTTCATATGTTTGAGAAGCCGCAATTCCCGGTAGGCTCGTTTGGCAAAAAGCTCTGATTGAAATGGGCGGTACAACTTCTTGATAGCCACTTTGGTCCCACTTTTCCTGTCAGTAGCTGAGCTTAAAGGAAATGGAAACAGAATTTCTGTAAATCAGAGCTAGATCGAAGGATAAAGTTATGTCCTGGAAAAGGGACAGTGTGTTTGTTGGCCATGTCCAGAGGGATCCCGACAGCAATAACCAGTCAGTACAGCAGAAATTAGCTTCTGCTTTCACAATATGCAAGAGAGAGGAAGTGTCTGTGTTTCCATGGAAAGGAAAGCATGTGAATGAATACAAATTGGTGGGTGAATGAAGCTACTTCCACATTTGCTGGAACATATGGGTACATCAAGCTAGATTCATTCATTCACAGCACAGACAGGCATGTTATAGTAAGTTACAGGCCAGGGGGGATGCAACAGGACACTCTCTTACACCATGCCAAACTATATCTGTTTAAACTAGGGGTGGGCAATTTGCAGACTCAGGGCCATATCCAAGCTCAGCTTGATTCCCTCACCTAATATCCACAATCAATTCTGGCCTCCACAAGAATGATCTGTCCCTTTCCCAGCAGACTGTTAGGAGAAAATGAATGGGACAGAAACAGAAAAGAGAGGGAGAAAAAGATGGCAAAAGAATGATGAAAAGGAGAAAGGGTCAACTCTTTTGGGCTATCCATTACTGACTTCTGCCCTGGCTACCTCTTGTCAAGTGACCCCCTGACTGATTACTGTCAAGGTCCATGGTCCTCAACAGAAAAACATGGCTCAATTCCAGTATGAACCATTATTATCCAGTCTGGTTGGGCAGCAGCTTTTCAAGGTTTCTCACAGGTCTTTTGCACCATTTGTCAGCTGCTTTCTGGGACTTTCTGCACACCAAGCATGTGCTTTATCAGTGAATCACAGCTCCTTTCTTAAAAGGTACAGCCCTTTATCCCTGTGTTCCCACTTTTTGGCAGAATGCATCCAGCATGGTATTGTAACCCATTCCACAAAGCCATCACATGCTTAGAGTTGGGTGGATAAACCAATTTCAGGATTATTTGTCCCGATAAAGCAAGGGGAACACCTTGTGGCCTCAGGAGATAGAGGACAAACAAGAGATGGAGCCAAGAGACAACTTTATCTTTGAAAGAACAGCATCCCTGAGAGCTGAATGTAGCAGTGTAACATCAATTTTTCCCATTGCCTTTTGTTGCTTACTGGCTGTTAAGGCGACCCAAAGAAAACTACAGGAAAAAAGTTGCTATGCTTTCCTGTCCCCTACTCCTCAATTGGTTGTTCCCAGCAACTGGGAAGAAGAAAATATACTCCCATCAGAAGGACACAAAAGAGATCTACCGAAAAATGTTGTCAAAGGTCTCTTCAAGACTTTTGTCTACTCCTTGATTCTTCTCAGCAGCCATAGCTTGGCAGCAGACCTTCAGAAGGTTACTATTTTGGATGACAACAACAACAAAACCACAAAAAAGTAAAATCCCAAGGCCCAAGTACAGGGCATGCTTTGTATGCAAATACGTCCTGTGTTCAGTCCTTGGCAACTTTAAGTAACTTAGGGCTGTGGAGTGTAGATCAAAGACGGCTCAGTTGGAGAGAATCAGGAGCAAGTTTCCAAGCAAAACTAAAACCAGAAATGGCCCAAGGTTAATTTCTAGTTTTGTTTAAAAAACAACAGTTCCCCCCCCTCCCTCCGAATGTTTTCAGGAGTAGTCATTCCCCCTTTCGAGTTGAATTCTGCTTGAAGTTGTGGTTCTTGTTATGTGCTGTAAAAATTGCCTTTGTCTTATGGCAACCCTAAGAATGACTTGCAAAAGTGATTTCTTGATTGCAGTCTCGACTTGGATTGATGACTCTACCAAAGAAAGGGACGTGGTGGCGCTGTGGGATAAACTGCAGAAGCCTGTGCTGCAGGGTCAGAAGACCAAGCAATCGTAAGATCAAATCCACGCGACGGAGTGAGCTCCCGTCGCTTGTCTCAGCTCCCGCCAACCTAGCGGTTCGGAAGCATGCAAATGTGAGTAGATAAATAGGGACCACCTCGGTGGGAAGGTAACAGCATTCCGTGTCTAAGTTGCACTGCCCATGTGACCACGGAAGATTGTCTTTGGACAAAACGCTGGCTCTATGGCTTGGAAATGGGGATGAGCACCGCCCCCTAGAGACGAACACGACTGGACAAAAATTGTCAAGGGGGAACTTTACCTTTACTTTACCTTACCAAAGAACATAAGAAAAAACGGAAACTTTTGTCAGTTTCAGTTTTTTCACTGTCAGCGTTAAAGCTACATATTTCTTTTGTACTCCGAGTCCTGGATTTTGTCTTAAATTTCAACTGTAGTCCTCCTCTTGCACTTTCCCCTTCAATGCGGAGAGACTTCACAAAATGCTGTAGTTTTGTTTGTAACCTTGCATGCTGTGTCTGGTTTGGATAACTCTCAAACCAAAGTGACTAGGAGGGGCTTTTCTGAGCTGAGCTGACTGTCTATCTACCCAGCACTAACCAATCATTGCTTCCAGCTTTTAAATTCAAAGAGAGCCCCACCTCTCTGCTGAGTGTTCTTTTCTCTCTCTGAGGCAATTTTTCGTTTACTGTTAGCCTGCCTGGTTGCTATGTGTGCAACAAAGAAAATAGTATACACAAATTCATAATTTCAAGCAACTGTAAGTAAAGAAATGTTTTTTAGTCTTTCTCCTACAAATTCCTCAGAGCGAGTTAACGAGACTGCAAGTGCCAGTTAAAAGAAAGGGATCGACTTTGGGGAATCTGTGGTTCTCTCCTCTGTGGATCTTTGTACTTATACTGTGTAGCAAAAATAATTTTAATAGAAGTTCAAAATCTCTGCAACACAAAAACTGGCCTCAGGATAGCTTGTTGCCTTTTTCAATTTAGGCAATATTAGGTAGATAAATAATTTATTGCGTATTGCTGCTTCCTATTCATATCCATGGTTCTAAAACTTTACTCTTTGGAGAAGTTCCTTACTTCAGGAAGTCTTTCACCTCACGTTCCATCAGTTGACAGTGACATAAATGCTATCCATCTCTCAAGCTGTTCCCTGTTCCTGAGCTGTCTCACAGAGGATCTATGAAGTGACCTCTACTCCTCTTGCATATCTTACTAAGATATTATGGAGATCACCTCTGCTTGTTAATTAAAGTATGAGACTGAAATGGCACAAAAATTGCAGATGGTATAAACACCTGGAATGTGAAACGTTGCCCAAGGGGCACTCCTATAATACATCAACATATGAAAAGGTGACAAACCAAGAGACACAGCTAAAATAAAACATAAATGTGAATACTCACAAAGGGTAAAGCTTACCCTTACACGTCTTCTAGGACTTATCCAAAAGCAATGATTATCAAGAATGCAACACAAATAGAAGTTATTCTGTCAGAATGTCAGTGTGGGTGCAGGCAACCTATGTTATATAGGCTTCTCTTAATGGACTCACTCTTGGAAGGATAACTGATTCCTTCCTATATGCTTTTACAAGTATGAGTTCACTTTTTAATGAGATCCTTTCTCTCTTTTCTTGTCACAAAATAGAGATGACAAGCTCTAAGACAGAAAGAATAATAGACATAGATAAACAATGTAAGACCCAAAGGGCCATATCTTTCTGTGGTCACCCAAACTCAAACTGATAAACCACAGAACATAGAAGGTCGGTGATCCAAGAGGGTGGGAGAATGCATTGCCCCATGATGCTGGGTTGAGATGTTCTGCCCATAAGTCATCTCTGCCACACAGAAGAACATATTTGTTTTCTGAAATGGGTATATCTTTTTAAATAGATTTTATTAAACAAACATCCAATCTAAACAACATAAACCTAACACCACAATAAAATACAATTACATAATGCACCAGTGCCACCTTCACCCTCAGGGCTAGTATTAATAATACAGTATTTTTAAAAATTCATTCAGTTCATTTTCTCTCCAAAATTTATTGTTTCTTCCCTCAGCGTATACCCCTTCCCTCTCTGAAATACATATTCCAGAAATACACTCCATATTTTCTTAAAATCGTTATTTTTGATAGGCCTCTTCTTATTTTCATATCACATGTCAATTTATCATTAATTGCCATATCCCATAATTTTCTATAGCATTCCTCTAAATTACTTTACTTTTACTTTATTTAGACTTATACCCTGCCCCTCTAGACAAAGTCTACTTGGGGCAGCTTACAGGAGTAATAAAATACAATAGAATAAAATACAATAAGATACATAATAAAAAAACCTACTAACAGATGCATATATAGATTATCAAGATGAGACAACTGAGAAAGAAAGATCAATTAATTGACTGGAGGGAAGGCCTGCCTAAAGAGCCAAGTTTTTAAATGGCTTTTAAAAACGCCCAGCGAGGGAGCCAGGCGGATTTCCATTGGGAGAGTGTTCCACAACTGAGGGGCCACTGCCGGGAAGGCCCAGTTTCTTGTTCTTTCCTTCCGGGCCTCTCTTGGTGTAAGGCCCCCCCCCAGCCGTCCCCACTGGCTTTGTCAAGTGATTTGGGTAGACCTGGGTGGGACAAGGCGATCTGCCAGGTATCGAGGTCCCAAACCATTTAGGGCTTTATACATCATCATTAAAACTTTGAAGTCAATGCGGAAACGAATGGGCAACCAGTGCAAAGCAGCTGATTATCGTTTTTCCAGCTTCTTGCAAAAATTAACCTTGCTGCTGTAACCATTATTACAATTAAATCCTTATTTTCTTTCAACAATTTATCTTTCTTAACCGTGTTCAATAAAGCCATTGATGGGGACATTTGTGAAATGAGTGTATCTTAACTGTGTTACTTTTTGACAGGATTTTAGGTGGGAATTCAAGATTACATTACTCAAGGGTTCAGTCACATCTTGACATAACATTTCAGCAATATGGGACACAATATCATGCAATAAGACTCTATGTTAGCAGAGCATTCAAAATACAAATTAAATCATCCTGGCCTGCAGTATGGGCAGCTATAGGACCAGTATAACTCCTAAGAAATGTGTGGAGAAAGACCACAGCTCTGCAATGCAGAAGATATGCTTTGTATTCAGAAGGTCTCAGGCCATTCCTACCACTTCAGGGGAGGGCTAGAAAAGATTCTTATCTGAAATCTATGGGGACTGCTACCAATCAGGATAGGTAGGAAGGAGTGAGAGCCTTTGGGGCACCCATTTAAATGTGATCCACATGGGTCCCAGCTAATAAGGACAGGGATCCCCATGCCCTCTGATCAGTGACAGGATATGACAAGGGTTTCCTTTGCACCTTTCACCTGGTGCTTCTGGGTAGCAGGTGTCATCTGTCACCATAAGAAGACCATATTTCCCCCCTTTCTTCTCTTACCCAAAAAAGAGAAGGGTGAAACAATGAAAATTTGGTTCATGGCTGAAGCACTTGGTGGAATGGCTCCATGTGGCACTTCATCATGTGGCCTATATAGGGATGGAGCCACAAAGGAATCTTCCTCCACCTCCATGTAGTTCCTGATCTCTGTCTGTGCAGACAAAACTGAGCTGAACAAAATGTGGGTATTACTAAGTACTGTATAAGGCAGTTTCCTCAATTATGCTATGTTGTTCTGTATGTGGGTTTCTCCCATGCTAATGACTGACCTCCTGAAGTTCCCACGAAGGCACTAGAACAAAATTATTTATGCATTCATTTAAGTTACTTCTATCCCACCATTCAGAGCAAGGCCTTCCAAAAGAAAATTAAGAAGACAAGGCAAACCAATATTATAGCACATCCAAGCCCTTGCAGCAAATATGCTGTACGGCTACTAGTTTCTTTACAACCATTTACATGTGGGAGACCTAGCTGCCCCAAGCTCTTTCGATACCTAAGTACATCAAGGTACATCACGCCAAAAACCAAACAAGTAATTTTGGCACATCAAACAGGAAAACCCCCAAAGCACCTCTTCCATCTCCCTGGCAATCAAACTTAAGTCTTTTAAAACTATCAAACTGCTACTCAAAATCTGCAGCTTGAGGCTGCTATCCCTCTCTGCCTAATGGTTTTCCGGGCAGTGATGAAGGATGCCAGCTTTCTTAACAGGTTCTCAGTGGGCAATGAGGAACATAAGGAAATGCAAAGCCTCTGGGCTGCACAAGGCCTGAATGACACTCATTGAGTGCATATCTTATCTCCTCCAAACAGTCTTCTGTGCACATCATTCCATATGTCTGCCTCCTACATTCTATGGTGGTAACACTTTCCAGAGAGAGGAACAGTTACTTGTTTAAGCTGCAACTCTCAAGAATACCCTAGCCAACAGGCCAGGGCCAGGCGGGCTGGGATATTCCAGAATGTTAATGCCAACAAATGAACACCTTCCCCCATCTCGACACTTTTCAATGACAAAGCCATAACTGGTTGCCAAGATGCCGTTTTTGTCAGGCATTCAACCCACTAATGAGACTCTCATGCTCCATACTATGGTGCCAGAGGTGATTAAATACTAATCCACCACCTACCTATCGACCTCAGAAGTCTCTTCCTTGGCATTGAACCAAGGCACCAATTCTGCAGGTGAAGCACAGAAACACAATAAATTTAACCTGCGAATTCTGTCACCCAGCCAAAGAAAGAAAAGAGAGCAAGAAACACCAGTAACACAATCACACTCCTATAAATGAATGACAATTTTGTTTCTCCAGTAGGCCCCGTGGGTTTCCGGTTTTAAACCCCAAAAGGAAGTTCTTAGCACTCTAGTAAACAAGTCATAAGTCCCTTGGAGGTGGCCTCGGTTGCTTGAGGGAAGACAATTCAATTGTTTTAAAATCCCTGTTGTATTTAAAACTATTTCCTTACACATTGTGCCTGCTTCCATGCCCAAATACCTAAAGGAAGTCACTTCAAGTATTTATTTCTTTACACAAGATAAAGATGCCAGGTGTCTGCTAGTAATACTGTTTGAGAAAGCATTACTCTATATTCCCCTATCCCGCACTTTCCTTTTTTAACATTTCAGTTTGAAACGAACGGTTGGGAAAAAGTCCTCCTGCGACTTGTTTCAGGTACTGGGTGCAAATTCATCACCCAGTAGCATCAGCTTCTTTGAGAGGTATGTGTGGCCCGGGATACATACACCCTTGAGAGTGTAATCCACTCTAAGGGGAGTGAATACTCGTCAGGAAAACACGCTGAAGAACCAGCGGCCTCTCCGGTCCGGGGAACGGCGCGGCGCCCAGCACGCCCACCCGCACCCGTGGAAAAAAGCCGATGTTGCGAGGGCAGCGGGGGGGGGGTGGCCATTGTTCCCTTTCCTCAGCGGCAACAGAGCCCAGGGCGGAGCGGTGGAAAACTTTGGAAAGGAGCTTCTTCAGGAGCTCGCTCTTCGTCTCCACAAAGAAGGGCTCCCGCCACGCGCCGCCCGCCCGGGGTCGCCCTCTCCGCGCCCACCGACGCACCCACCCCACTTCCTCCACAAACCCTGCTCACCAGACGGCGCCGTAGGCTCCGGATCCGACCGCCTGGAGGTCCCGGTAGCGGTCTCTCACCTCCCAGACCGTCTTGGTGATCTCCTGGCGATAGAAGCCTTTCTTGGGGGAGGCCATGGCAACTTCCCCCGTGGCTCGCCCCCAAAGCGGGGGAGCTGTGAGGAAGCCCGAGGAACCGCCGAGCCGGGAAACGGGCGGCTCCAAAGTCACCCCTTGTTTTTGCGCGCCTGGCTGCGTCTGTGTCTGTGTGGCGGGGCGTGTGCGCCCCTCTCTTGTATCCCTCTCTCTCTCTTTCACACACACACACAAAGATAAAGACTATCTATATTCTGCTTTCCCAGCGTGTGGTAAACGTGGCTCCCGCTTTCTCTTTCTCCCTCTCCCCACCCCCGCTCCCTCGGCTTCCCTTCCTGCTGCTTTCCACCATTCACTCTGGGGAGCGGGGAGGAGGAGGAGGAGATCGTGTTGCCGTCATTGATTATGAATCAATGAAGTGAATGAAGAGAGGTCTCGTGTGCACCCCCCTCCCCCCCCCGGTCCATCCTGCTTGTTTTGAGGACTGATTGCGAAAGTAATTCGCGGAACCCGACCCACCAAGGAGATGCCTTTTGTGTTTCGTAGATGACCTCTCTTATCCCCCCCCCCACACACACACATTGAAAGAAATCACGTGCGCCAAGGAAGAGCCGTCCCTGTGTGAGCAGCGCCTGGATCGGAAAGTAGCGTGGAGAGATTACTCGCTTGTATACAGCTTTCCGTGTGTGTGTGTCTGTGTCTATGTCTGTGTCTGAGAGAGAGAGAGAGAGAGAGAGATCGAGCAAGTTTCTTCTTCTTCCTCTAACTAGTTATCAAGGCAAGAGTATGGTTCCAGAGTATTCAGAAGTAAACTTGGCCCTCCAAGTCAGACTGTTTGGGGAAAGGGTATAGGATTCGAATATGCGCTTGAGAGAGTGGGTTGCAGTCTCAAAAAGTGTGTGGCAAATCAAATTTCCTTCTTTCAAGCTCCGCAAGACTTAGTTTCTAGTTTTGTTGGACCGAACTTTCCCCTGCCCTGGTTTCAGATGGGACAGTCAGAGGAGTAATAAGGGATGCAAAGGGCAGACGTTTGCTGGGATGCTCTCTACAGCACGATAGGGACTGTCCCAGAGTTTGGGAAATTACTTTTTGAAAATAACTTGACCCTTGTACTGGAATTGGAATACATTACATGAACCTACATGTCTGTCAGTTTTGGTGTCAGAACTCAGTAACCCCTGCAGCTTGACATTGGTCTGCAGCTTGAAATTGTTGTGTGCATTGTTTCTTTTCCGTTGTAGAGGAAATTTTTCAGATCAGTGGTATCAAATCTCACTCTAAATGCTTCTAAAATTCCTTTAGCATTAGAGAAAACAGGTAGAAAGTTATTTCAAGATCTATCAGCTATTTATTTCAAGATCTACCACCGATTCTAGCTCATTCCCAGTCGTTTTGCCTTCAACGTATGATGTCATTGTCCTCTAGTTTTTCTAAATAGTGTTGGTGCTGGTCCCTATTTGGGATGGAAGACCCCTAATAGATACCAGAATTCTCCAGGATGCTCCAATAGATACCAGAATTCTCCAGGATGCTCCAATAGATACCAGAATTCTCCAGGATGCAAAGTGCAGAATATCCAAGGAGAACCGATTCACATCAAGATAATGTGCATATCCCACTTCTTCTAAATTGGAGGGAGGTGTACTGACGATTAATTACTTTTGAGCAGAAAGACAGCTGTGATTGCCTTATACCAAGGATGCAGTTTAGGAACGTTTTGGCCGGACGTAAAGGTACTTGCCTTCCTTAGTTACTCATTTTGCTCAACCGGACATCTGGTAATTGAGAAATATACTGCCTCTGAAAAGCCAGACCTTGGGGAAATTGCTTTCTTTGAATGAAAAACCTCACAACAGTGGTGGAGGATGCTGTAACTTGTCCTTAAAAAAAAAAAAGGAAATTCCCAGCCCTGGCCTCTAGATCTGGGAAATCCAAAAGTGCACAATAGCCAAGTAGAATTTCCAGGCACCATGCCCAATGAGTTGACACGTGCTTAGAGTTTTGTTTCCTTCATCCATAATGCAGTGGTAACTTTCCTCCCACCACTTAAAAAAAAGGCGAAGAGCATACTTACAGGGTATAATAACAAGGTATAAACAATATTTTTCTTTCAAAAAGCATTCTCAGCCTAGATAATTTAATATGGTAGTTTATTTACATAGCAATCATCAGTATAAATAATTCATTTGTTTGTATCCCTCCTTTCCTCCAGTTAGCTGAAGCCAACATGCACAACTCTCTGCCCCACTATATTCTCACAACCATCCTGTGCCGTAAAGTGGCCAGAATGAGCAAGGCTGGTCCAATTTTACCCAGTGAGTTTCCTGGCTCAGTGGGGGCTTAACCTTAAGATCTCTCAAGCCCCAGTAGTGGCTTGAGAGATCTTAAGGTCGCAGCCACTACACCCCATTCTGATCATACCTGATTCACACTTCCATAAGTGGGATAGTAAAATTCTGCCCATTTGTTGTGTTTGTGAGTGGACCCTAGAGTTGATTTACTTGTAACAAGTAAATTGTTGATTTACTTTGCTGGATTAATGGCAAAGCTTATGTTTTACATCCTGCTTTTTTTAAACATCTGTGTGAGTCATCTGCCATTAGTAAGAAGCTGTCTGTTTTGAATGTCATAGGTAATCCACGCGTTAACATTATTCCTAAGTGAGATGCAAAAATTGCTTTCCTGTGGTCATGGGAGACAGCTCATCAAAAGGCAGACTTGCCATACCATGAAACAAGTGGCAGACTACATGACCTTGTAGTAATGAAAAATAGTACTAGTTCCAAACCATTGGAGAAGTGAAGGGCTGATCCATCAGTGTCTCACAGTATCTTCCCCAATGCATGTGGGTTCTACAGACAAGCACTCATGAGATACGAATGACAAGATGTCTTTCTTTTCCCCATTGCACTTGTGGGCTTACAGGCCAGTAAAGCTTTGTAAAGCAGAAGGACTGCAAGAGAAAAAAAGCTTGGTAAAGCAATTGCTTCAATAGCACAGCCTGAAGGGCAGAGGGAGTTGCTTTGATTGAGCTATTCCATCGTTTCTAAAAGCAGCACCAAAAAGAGGCAGAGACATATCGGAGGCTTATTTGTTACAAATTTTCCTAATCGGCAGCCTGCTTCATCATATGTATTAACTGGTTTGAGAAGAGTGACTTATTGTAGAGGTCAAAACAGGTTTGCAAGGTGAGAACTAAAGATAACAGGAAAATGCCAAATAAATCCTGGGTGTGTAGGAGTCTGTTCCATCTGGTAGTCTGTGATATTTATTTGCGCAGATGGGCATGCATACTCACATTGTTCTGGAATCAGAATGTGTTACATAAACCTACATGTCTGTCAGAATGTGATACACAGTCTTACAGTTTTTCAATTAGAACCACATAAAAATGAACATATGCAAAATGAGAAACAATTCCTGTTTCTCTTTAGGAAACTTAGCGGTAGTTCTTGTTCTAGATTTTCTTGCATCAGCTGCCTTTTGATAGATATCCATCACTTATGTTCTACTCTACAGCATCCACTGCAGGGGTGACTTGATATCTGCTAACTGAAGATAGCACAGCTTAGTTTCCAATAACTTCTGCCACAATGAATCCTTTAAAGGTGTCACAGTGATATTTGTAGTGTAAGGACAGTAGGTGAGGAAGACTGAAATATTCTATTTCATTGATCTCTCTTTTTCTGTATTAATATCCTAACTTTACATTAATCTCCTTACTTAGGAACATCAAAAAGGATGGACAGCTGTTAGGACAACATCAGTGTCATTCTACTCAGTCGTTTTGGTTTCTGGCTGTAGAGCGAAAGGTTGGAAGCTCAATTGCCCACTGTGCCTCCATCAAATCCAAGGGTCTTTTCCAGCTCTGCAATTTCAGGATGATTGATTGATTCCCATTAATTAATTCATATTATGGAAAAGAATGTTTGTGCAGAATTGTCCTCCACATTAGAGGATTTCATTGTTATAACAACATAATGTAGGGTCATTTTGCTCCGGTTGATTCAGACTGGCCAACCTGTGTGGGAAAGCTCCTTCAATCAAATGAAGTGCCTTGCTTCATATTTCACCACACTACACTGAACACATCTGACTTGCCTGGTTTTGGAAGCTAAATAGGGTTTGCCCTGATTTAGTAGTTGGATGGGAGACTGCCAGTGGTTACTAGAGTCCTCCAGGTAGGTCTACAAAAGAATTCTGCCTGAAACCATGGACAGTCAATGCCAGTTATTGTCAATATTGGTTTAGGTGGACTTGATACAAGGCAGCTTCTCCTTCGTGGCCTCTGTGAATACACACTAATGGGTTAATCTGTGCTCGAGCAGAGCAG